AAAGCGATTAATTATACTTTATTTTACTTTCCTGACATTCAGCGGAACGTTAGTCAAACTCCTCATATGGTCAGAATAATTCATTAAGGATTCCTTAAACGTGACGTTAAATGTCGAAAATCTATGCTGAATTCCATCTGATCCGATCGCGAGTGCAAGCGACTATTCATCTGTCAGGAGATTTATGTCATCCATACTTTTATGTGACAACTAAGCTATTGGTTGTTATCACGTGACCTCTCCACTTTGTACGTTTCACAGAGCTCCTCCGCGATCGCGAATCTCGTCTTGGAAGTGGTCCGAATGGTGCAGTTCGTGTTTGTAGTCATCCATGGTTCTCTCCTGACTGGGCTCTAACTCAAAAATCCTTAGGTCTTTTGGACTCAACAGATCTGTCTTTGGTCGATTGGTCTTGGACAAATATTAGGGCCTGCCGTGCCCCCTTCCAACCACGACTGACTAGTGAAACAGACACATCTTACTTTCAGCTGGAGTCGGATGAAGGTGATCAGCATTATCGACCAACAAATTCTCCCTCTTCAAATAAATTGGAAGATCAATTACCTGTTTCAGACAATACAGATATGCGCGATCATTCTGCCCCTCTCAGAGATGCTGAACACTTCCTCACGAAGTTTCCTGGCGTTCAGTCGGCTTTTGCAGGTGAAGGCAATTTAGATTCTTGTTGGCTTATCGTCACTTTACCAAATTCATTGTATTTTCTCGCCATGCGCCTAAGTGCCTTTTGAAATCCCATGCTCTCGATCGGTTGTAAGCATGTTTCACAGCGTGTTTAACTTGATTTGAGTTTACTTTCTTCAAACACGTGTATTGGATTGCCATTGTCTCCGTACTTACGCAATGTCGAAGGGGCTCTCTAGACTTCAAGTTTCAATCGATTCTTTCATACATTTTCCATCCCACCATCTACCCGCCCCTTGATTTTACCTAAATAGATACAGTAATGCTAACATTCGCCGCTGCGGAAGATCGACGAGTTTACGAGTGTTATGCTCCAGACGAGCTATGCAGCTCCACTAAGGTACCGATTGCCGATGAACTTCAACAGCTCTCATTGGCTACCCTACTTGATATAAGCAAAATTTCCCACATGCCGTTAAAGAAACTTTGCTACTTCCAGTGTTTTCGATATCATTTGCCCATATTTCTAATCTGTACAGCGACCAAATATATCTCAGAGTTATGCACACTCCCATTGGTCGACAGTGGTAAAAACTGAGCACTGTATTGCGGTAACAATTAGAAATTTACCTTTGTCCAACAACAAAACATGTACAAAAGTGATGAAATAGTATCCATCACTTGTTAATCGCTATTTAAATTCTTAATTGAAATTTAAAAATTGTAGACTTTTGTAACACATGGCCGTGGGCATGAGATGTCATTTTTAATGGACACTCCCTTCTCTGAATTGAATATCGGCAACTGTGATTCCAGCAATGTTTCGAGCTGTTGCACAGGTTCCGGAAAACTGTTCCCAATATTGACCACTCTTTTTTCGGAGCACAGGAAGTGAGCAACTTGCTTCAGATCCGACATTCTTCTCCGGAGTCTACGCGTGCCGCACTACATTCGCTAGTTAGACGGAGGCCTCAGCATGAGGAAATCACCCGCATATAAGATGCGATAGGGTTTTATTGGGATCCATTTGCACCCCGTGAGCAATTAGTCATGCGGAATTTCGCGTTATAGGCGGGTCTCTCAGTTACTTGTTTTGAATAAGGGTGTAGTACTGAGTCTAGGTTTCCTCTCCGGCCTACCAACGTGACACTCGTTTAGTGAGTCACCTGTCTCCAGCAACAAGATCACAATCACAAGCTTCATTGTGATCGGGCCTACCGTCAATTTCAATGTCAACGACGCATTTACACTAATGTTATACTGCCTGACATGCTTCGAGACCCACTGCTGCAGGATGTGCCGCGCTTCCACATAATCAGCTGGCCACCTTTGTGTTTTACAGCTCAATTGCAGTAGTACTATCAAAGTCGACTTTCGTTGTCCATTGTGAACGACGGCATCTTGTTTCCAGGGGTGACTGATTATTACAGGAATCTTGCAAAAAAGCGTATTGCGGAACATCCATACAGTATATCCCAGAACGATCCGAATGAGACTCGCCTGGAAACGGTGTGTTGGCCGTTTATGATAGGCAGTTGGAAAAGCTTGCTTATAGTTGCGGCAGCTGTGCTAGCTCTTCAAAGGCACCACTGAAGTCGGAACTCCATTTATGACCGAAATCATGGTGTCATGTTCCCGTCGACTTAACATGCCCCCGTGAAGGGCCACAGGTTTCTGATGGTTGTCGACTCTCTTACCTCTTTATGGCCTGAACTGCTTCTTATGTGCGACGCGACAACTGTCGCAAAGATTTTAAGGTTGCAACAGATCTTGAGCAGCCTTGGTTGCTCCGAAACACCTCGAACAGATTAGGCGCATAATTTAGTTTCGGCCGCATTCACGGAGTTCTGTAGATGCTGCGCCATCATGCACCAATCGCTCTCTGGCATCCCATCCATAATCGAACTACCAAGCGAAGCACTTTGCAGATGAATTCAGGCGTGCTGTCCTAAAAACAAGAAGGAGTATAAAGAGTTAATCGAGTGTTTCCTTTTCCTGTACTGAAGCTACAGGCAGAGCACCTCGATAGTGAAAAGAATCGCAAGATGAAACAATTGCTCAACTGCCGGCATGGAGGAAAACTGCGCTCGTTCAAGACAGGACAGTTACTATTCGTACTTGACTATCGTGAACGACATATAACGGACGTTGGCACGATCAATGGTAAACGCAAGAATGTCACTTATGAGGTGCTTGTTAGAACGCACATCTAGGCACACCACATAAACCAACTGCAAGCAACGCTTTGTCGGCCGAAAGCAACAGAGACTACCAGACTTCCGTTTGATTTGTTGATAGAAAGCTTTAACTTACCGAAGAAGGCTATGAAGGACTGCCGTCGATCGAACAGTGCATTTCAGCCGCAGATCACAAGATCCGCTGCTAGATCTCTTCAGGTAGAGCGATGGGCTGGCACACACGGAACAACATCCAAGAGGCCACAATACAACACAAGGTCTATCCTACACTGCAGCCGTCTTCTTAGGAGGTGTGTCCGAAGGAAAAAGCAAGGGCTTTTAAAAAACATTGAAGTATTGAAAGCCAGGATTTGCTCACCAGCAAATGCAACGCGACACTGCTTTAGTGAGACACATGTCTCGACCCTACTAGTCTGATTTCTAGTGCACCGGTTGACCGGACCCAAGTAATCTATACGACCAGCTTTTGTAACCTGGTCTTCACATTGTTTTGGTGGCGTTGTGGTAGCACGCTTTTTTTGTTCGAAATGTCCTTGATTTGTATTTTTTTTCAGTCGGGCTTATGGTTTTGCAGAACTACTAATGGTTGTTTACCTGGATATCGTCTGATGGAAAGTTTGACAGTTACGGATCAGAAGATACTGTCTTCCTAGTGGTAACCTTGGGTAATTCTAGGTTCTTTCTTATAACAAATGAATAAGTAGTCGCGTACAGCTGTCACAGTTTCCTAGGGTTCGGGGTTCACAGGCTGCGCACCTGTTCCTTTATTGAATGTGACACTATTCGTGCGACGCAATGGGGGTGATTGTAAAGTCACGGAAGCATCACACTCAGATTGAAGTGAGTGCGCAACATAAACTATTGAATAAGGTCCATGCTCACCTTATCAGTATACACTCATCAATTGAGCACTGAAAGGGAGTTTCAAATTGAGTGTTGGCCGCCAGGAAACACTGCAGTGTTTTGACTCTTCTTCGGCTACGATCCCAGTGATTGCATTGACAAACGTTCACTTCGATGTCAGTCGCGAACTACATTGCGATTACGCATTGCAATCCATTCACACAACGAGCGCCAAGATGAAAGCATTATTTGCCACCTAGTGGTCAACCGTATTTGGGCATGGTTGTATGCTTGTTTGTCCAGTACATTGTTCTTGTGACGATATCAAGACAGTACTCTGTTTGTTCTAAGCACTGTGACGTCACCTGGAAACCGTCTCAACTTACGTATGGCTACCTGTTCCTAATAGCCTGTGATATACATTAATCGTCCTGCTGTCTCACATATTCAGGGTCTAACGCTCTGAGCACGGTCGCCTAAGCTGGCCGTTCATCTCTGCTAGAACAGGTAAGATTTTCTTTGCCCACAAAACCTATGAATCCTTGTTCTTTGAAAACGCAGTCAGCGGCCAAGCTGGCAATCAAATCTTCTAAGCCACATTCTACTGCGCCACGAACCAACCACTTTATTTTCGCATTTGTTCAACTCTCCTATGTTTAGTTATCCCATTTATTTTTCGAGTACTCAGCGCCGCGCAGCTTTCGGCGAAAGTTTTCACTATACGAGTCGATGGTTCACGGTTGCGTTATGGTCTTCTCTAGCTCTTCTCTCTGAATTCAAGCCGAAAACTTTCATGTTCGGATTTTGATACTGAACAAATCACATGCTGATATTACTCGCACTCTGCAATCCGTTATTGAGTACATTACTTGCCACTTCGGAATCTTACAGGATCTCTAGCAAGGCACTACAGTTCACTGGTTCCACTGTCTATAATTTCCGTTGACACCTTCACCTAACCTCTGTTCGGTGACACGGCTGCATGCGACCATTGGCCATTCCGTCTTAGCGGTTGTGTTGAGCACAAGTCTAGAAGCAACGCTGTTCGACTTAATGCAAGTCGATTGTACTGTCTAGTTGGCTCATTCATCCTCTGGGCTAGCAGATGCTGCTTTTTGTTACGGATGCTATATTCTAGCGGATCACAATCTGCTATTCTGGTAGAAATTGCGTTCTTACACTCAGCCTAGCGATCTACTTGTTAAAATGTCTCACGTGCAATGTGGCGCTTTTCGGAAAATTAAACGCGCTGGTCGATGAACTTTATATTGATGCAGCCGAGGTCGTTGGTCAACCGAGCTATGGTACTTATTTGCTGAACAACTGATATCGTCTACTTCGGTTTTGCACCCATCTCGACGCATCCATCTGTGGCACTAACTTTCAGCGATCTTGGTGCTACTGCGCCATGTGATGAAAGCACCCATCACTTGGCAAACCGTGGACGCTGATTGACCGATGCTCAAGTACGGATCACCCATCTCTTGTCCGATCACCCGTGGCGAGGTGCAAATACTGGAACGTGTTCAACATGTGGCCACCATGCTGATCCAGTTTACAGGGTATTCCGTACGAAGACTGACGCAGACGACTAGGACTGTACACCTTGTCGTATCGTCGGTTTAGCGTTGATCTCATTATGACGCATCGGCTGTAGCATCTGGGCACTTCCCCATGCTGCCGCCACTTCACCTGTGCACACAAAGCAGCACTCGCGGTTACCGGTACAAGCTAGTGGTACCGGACCTAAAGCGGATAGCTCATCCACTATGCTTCATGCGTTGCGTGTGGAATATTGGAACAGTTAACCTGCGAAAATTGTTGAGGCAAAATCGGTGTCGGAATTCAAGCGATTACTTTACACCCATTTAGCGGATTTCAGATACAGGGAGCGCATCACACCCGAATAGCATGCGATGCAGCTGTAATGGCAGCAGACACTCAGACTTCAGTGACGGGAATTCGCGTACGTGCCTGAAC